TAGCAGCATAACTAAGAGATGGTTCAGGACTCACCTGATCCAGCCTTAACTATAAGCTTTATCAAAGAGAAATGTCTTAAGCCTTGGACTCAGGAAACCTGTTATGTTGCTTCAGGCTTATAACTCAACAAAAAAAGATATAATGTCTTGGTATCAGTCCTAACTGGGGCATGTGCAGCTCTCAGTTCAACCCAGGGAACGAATCTGGTTTGGCAGGTTTTTTTAACAGATGGATGGTATAAAGCTCTCATACTGACACAGCCAGCCTCTCACCTCCTCCACATTATCTGCTGAAAGACGATGGGTAAGTGCACCTATTTTCTGGTAAATGACTGAAAGGTAAAGTCCAACAAAAACTATGACTAATTTACAGTAATTGTCTAGTTATTGTCAAAGCCCTTTTAATTATACATACAAGTAATAATGAATATGTTAAGATCTACTGTACTCCTATAAGAACTTGATAAAACTGTATATCATAAAATGATTGCTTATACAAAGCCAACAAACTGTTTTTATATTTCATGATTATTATGAGTCTTGCTGAGAAAATTAATGTCCAGTGAGCTCTGTAAGAAGGTTATCCTAGGTTATAGAGCATCTAATCCAAAGAAGTGTTTGTTAATGTGTTATTTTAGATTTTATCAAATGGGCATTTTTAGGGTGTAAGTCACATTGTTGGTGTAACAGAATATACATTATTTTATAATTAATTATTTGCATGATCTTGGAGAATACAAAAAAGGTTTTAATGACATTGGTGTACACTAAACACAATTGCTATATGGGACAAAACCCTCCTGTAATGGGGATAGCAATGTCTGCCTGTGGCTGGGAGCCGCAACTTGTACCAGCTTGTTTTCTCAGGATTTGTCCTTACCACATACTTTCTCCCTATATGGATGTGCAGATCACACCACATCTGTCAATCCAAGACCCACACTTACCTTACAGCAAGCAACCAAAGTGACAGAGCAACTTTATGGCGTGACCATAACTGAGATCTCCACCCTGCCTAGTTATATTGACCAGAACTTGTGGTGGACAAAGAGGGCAGCAAGCATGTCCTGAAGATCATGAACTCAGAAGAGAGTAAGAATACTACTCTGCTAGAGGTGCAGACCCTCGCCATGTCCTTTCTTCGCCAGCATGGAGTTCCTGCTCAGACAGCTGTGCCCACCACCACAGGGCAGCTCATGAGTATGGAGGAAATAGGTAACAGCAATTATCTCTGCAGTCGCATTTTATAAAATTAGTTGAGTCACAAAGGACAGCATATGCGACAAGAGGTGGGTAACGAGCCCCTATACACAAAACAGTCCCAATCCAAAAACAACTTATATGTCTAAGAAGCAGCCAGTGCCATTATACACCCATCACTACTGCCTGTATGCACATAACAGGTTTTACAAAACAACATACAAAAGAATGTTACTTTAGGCTGTAGCTGGCTATCTGGCATAGAGTCAGATGAGAAGATTGATCACTTTGTTACATCCTGCAGAGGATGAACGCAGGGGGAAACAGCTCGTCTGGCTCTTTTCAAAGATAAACGTTTTCAGGCTTTCAACAGAGACTCCAGAAAGTTATTGCTCACAGCCCAACAATTGTCCATCATAAACCACAGCGAAACAGTAAATAGTTGTTTTTACATGTAGATTTTTAACAGATCAAACAACAAAGATAAAACACGTTTAGTGAGCTTTAGAGGTGTAATGTAGGTGGATTTTTATATTTTTTGATTGAGCCAAAAAAAGCAGTTTCCCCCTGTTTCAGGTCTTATTGCTGAGCTGAAGATAAAAAGGAGGAGTAAAAGGAATAATCACTACAACCAAAATACACCACTCACCCAACCTAAAGATGACCACACCTAAGAAAGCAATAGTCCTTTCAATCTTGCAAGGCATGTGGGTGGCTGCTACCTTAATAAAGTACAGTGAATGTCACCTGAATCGTTGCTGACTTCAGGGCATTCTGAGAAAGATACAAAGGCAATATAATCACCTGAGGTATTTTAGGATTTCCCAGAAGCTAGGTATACAGATTTGTCATGGCTGTTTGAAAAGTCAACTAGGAGAGACACTGGTTTGTTGGTTAGATTACGTTGAGACATTCGATTACAGATGATTAGAGTTGAGTTTATTGTCATGTAATTTGGTTTAGGGTAATAATGTGCTAGGGTAAAAATAGTACTTTCCACCATTAACTGCTGGGGCTACAGTTTAAAGTTTAAACTTTTAATTTTGAATTTACTTATGTCTGTGATAGTCTCTGATGCTGTATGAGTTTATGCTATGCCAAAATTGTAGTAAAGTTGCAGTGAATAGAAAAGATCATAGGGTTGTGCAGAATTTACAGGTATTGGTTGAATTGTTACGATTGCAATTTCATGAAACCAGCATCAATAGCTCTATGTTTTTAGAATATGTATTAATTCTAAACCAGACTGTACAGAGTTATGATGATATACTGAACTGAAAATGTCCCTGTTACCTTATTAGACTGCGGACATGGTGCTCAGACCTACTGTGTGAGGTTGTTGACCTATATCCCTGGAAAACCCATTGCACAGTCACAAGTTACAATGCAGGATCTTTATCATGTTGGGAAGTTGGCTGTCACTGTTGATAAGACACTGCAACAAGTAAGTTCAAAGGTCACCATCATCATTATTATAATTATTAGTCGTATTTCTACTATTACAGTTGTTATTATTGTTATTATTGCATCTCTGTCTCTCTCTCTGTCTCCCTCTCGCCACAACTATTTGAGACTGATGGCTGCCCACCTAGCTGGGGTCTACTCAAGGTTTCTGCCTCTTAAAAAGTTTTTCTTTGCCACTCTCGCCAAGGAGTACAGTCTAGACCTGTGTCCTAAGATAACTGCTGTAATGATTTGGCACTATACAAAAAAAAAAAAATTGCATTGGATTGAATTGAAACGTGCACATTTCAACTAATAGATATTTTAAAGCAGATGGCTGCTGCGCTAATGTTAGAATCTTAGTGTCTTTCAGCTCGCTGTTTAGCTTTTATGGCCTGTGACTTCACTGTTTTGCTTTATCCTCACCCCTGTCATCAATCCTGTTTGACAACATTCACAGGTTGTCACCTGTTAGATGTGAGTGAGGCTTAGCTTGTTGTTGACTTTTGCCCCCAAATGGGGCAAAAGGGGTATTAAACAGTTATTGATTAAAAATAAGCAGCAAAAATACATGACATTAAAACATAGCATTTTTTCAGCTGGTATCCCCAAACCTGGATGCCCTAAAATATGACACACTTTGGAAGTTATCCAACATTCCTCTCCTGGAGGGCTACTTATCTGTGATGGATGGAGATCCCCTGCAGGAAGTGGTCAAGGCAGTCATTGAACAGTATAAATCACATGTGCAGCCAAAAATCATCTCCTTCCAAAAAGGTAACAGAACAAATCTACATTTCTTATACTCTATATTATTTTGGTTTACTATTTGGTTTATTATTAAATTATACTGTAACTGTATAATTTAGATTTACCTCAAAGCACCGCTGTGCCTAAGCACGGCCTCAAAGAGCTGCTACTATGGCTGTACACTCTTAATCGTGTTATATTAGCAACAAATGAATATGATTTAATGTTATGTAGTATATAATAAATAAAACTTGATGTGTTGTTACCTTAGAATGAGCCTTTTATATCTACAGATGCCTTCACTGAAGGTCACTGTGTTGAACTGACATGTTTCTACAGTAGCCCAGAATGGACAAACCAGAAACTGTCTCTAGATATGGCTGCAGCAACAAACAGTGGAGACAAAACAGAGCTACATGAGAGTGAATATTGGATGAACGTACATCAGGTGACCAGAAACAAAAAAGTTTTCAATCTAAAAGTATCTTATATCAACACGTATCTTAAGTCTTGTATTTAGAGCTTTTTACCCCTTCCATCAAGTGTTATAGTATTATAGGTTTACAGGTGTTTTAGTTGCCTAACTTTACCCATAATTGATTTGCCAAAACCACAACATCTAACATTAACTATAGCTGCCATATAAAGATATTACAGAATTTGTTTTTTTTAAATAATTTTAAAATATTAATTGAAAATAATCCAGAGTTTGACAGAACCATTCAATATCAACATTCTTGGGTTATATGGGGTTTTCACCCGTAAGAGTTTATTATTATAGACGACCAGGACAAATCTAACAAAAGTAATTAGAGCTAAATACCTCTACACTTTATGGTAAGAGACACTTTATGGTAAGGTTATGAAAATGGTGCAATTACCTAAAATAAAGGTACTTTTTCCCCCCAGAGCATCTTTACAACTAAGTACTAAGTGTTTCTATGTTGTCTTTTACAGGAATAATACATGGGGACTTAAATGACCAGAACATCATTGTCATACCTATTTACAGCGGGCATCATGAGGTGTCAGGCATCCTGGACTTTTCTCTGCTCATGAATGGATGCTATGTGTTTGAACTGGCAATAACAATCATGTACTTGATGCTGGAGAACCCCAGTCCACTGGATGTAGGTGGAGCAGTGTTAGCGGGCTGGGAGAGCATTATGCAGCTCAATGATGATGAAAGAGATTCCCTCTTCCTGCTGGTGCTTGGTCGGTTGTGCCAGTCTCTGGTTTATGGACGGCACAGTGTCAAAAAATACCCAGACAACAAGAGTTATTTACTGACTACAGCCAAAAGTGGGTCTCGACTTCTTGTTAAACTCTGGGAACTTGGCAAGAAAGAAGTAGAAAGGAAATGGTTCTCAGATGCCAGAACATTCTCAGTGAGTAAATAGAGAAATTATGGGTTCCAATGGATTAATGGAAGAGAATAAAGACTTGCAATTACAAAAAATCAGAATTGAGGGATTTGAGGGAAAACCAAAAGTACCATGGTGTACTTCAAGTTTAAGTGTATCTTTTTTTTGTTGACATTATCACCCTTATTTGATGGTTATCAGTCAAGATAAGATAAGAAGATAGACCAGAAACATGGGGGAGACATAGGGAGAAACCAACTCATTGAGAGAGAGACAGAGAGAGAGAGAGAGAGAGAGAGAGAGATGCAACAAAGGCCTTGGCAGTTACACAGTACACATCTTAGATCACTGTGCAAAAAGAAAAGCTATTTGTTAGATATATTTTGCCTTCAACTCAGCTCCATGAGTAAAAGTTCTATTTGTAATATTGACTGTATTTCTGGACCCAACTGGATTATTAATCATTAATAAATAATTAACCAATGTTTTATAGAATAGCAACAACACCTTAATGAGAAAGAATATTCTCGACACTTGAAATGGAGAGATGCAGAGAATCTGGAATGGACTATATTAACAATTTATTAATATGATGTGGATTATTGTAGGACCCTTTAATTAAAGTCATCTTATTAAATTTTGCATTTACTAGCATTTGCCTATGGACAATTAGGAATGAGAAATCCAAGAGTATGATGGATTATTTAAATGTATAACTGCATTGCTACCAAGTAGAAACACATAGCTACGTTACTGCTAAAACATTTTAATAAAGCAACAGTGTTTTATTAAGTGAAAAGTCTCTGAGTTGAAAATGTAATGTCAATATCACTGCAATGCATGATTCCTGAGAGGAGAAACCCTTTTCCTTGAATTGAGTTTCAAGGTTATGCAAATGAATAAGTGTATATACAGATAAAATAAATTATTTCCTATATATAAAAATCTATTTAACATTTTCTTTGTGACATACCAGTAGTGGAAAGCAATTCAGTGCATTTACTCTGTACCGTAGTACTTAATTGTTCTACTCCATTACATTTCAAATGGAAATATCCATTGCATTCATTTGAGTGCTACGTTTACTACAGTTGTTGCTTTGCTCTTCCACGGAGGCCGTCATGTT